ATGAATGGGTTTGGTGAAATTATTATGCCAGAGTAACTTGATTACACTTGTGGCCAAATTTCTAGTGGATAATGGACACATAAACAGAATAACTCTGACTTCAGCAACATAACTGATCAAAAACTCCTATCTTGGTAAATAAAATGGAAAATGTACATGGGAAATTAGAAAAGTTAAGCATATCCAAAGCCCTTTGTACTTGTACTTTGTAACCTGTGCAATGTTTCTGTCAACACGAAAGGCATGAGTCATCTTAGTCAAACATATGGAATTTAGAAGACTAGCTCAGGGCAAGAGTTTCACGTTCTGATTTGAGCTGCTGCCTAGGATGCACACATTCCAACTCAGAGAGGCTGGGTCGAAGTCCCAGCTCTGCTCAAGGTTTCTAGCTGGGAGGTAGTGGCTGATGGCTCAAGTTGCTGGCTCATTGCCACCAATGGGGGATGACCTAGACAGAACTGCAGGAACTGCAGGCTCTTGGCATCAGCCTGGTCCAGCCCTGACTGTTGCAGGCATTCAGGGAGTAAATCAGTGGAGGGAAGATGTCTTTCATTTCTGAAATAAAGTGAAAATAAAGAAATAAGTGTTTTAAAAAGACAATGACAAAGAAGCCTATTTAAAGGAAGGCGATTTCAAGGGAAGAAAGAATAAATGACATGAAAGACATCTGCCTTTAAACTAAATTTTTGGGTGCTGGCAGTGTGGCATAGTGGGCATTCATATAGGGCACAGTGCCAGCATCCTATACAGGTGCTGGTTTGAGTTCGGGTTGTTCCATTTCCCATTTAGCTCCTTGCTAATGCACCACGGAAAGCAGCAGCAGGTGGCTCAGGTGCTTGGGCCCCTGTACTCACATGGGAGCCCAGGAGGAAACCTCAACATCCTGGTTTCAGAACAGCCCAGCCTTTGGGGCCCTTTAGGGAGTCACCAGCAGATGGAAGATCTCTTCCAGTAAGTACATTAAAGAAATAATAATAAATTGCACTTTTTTCAGTGTTTATTAATTACTAGATTCTATGGTAAGTGCTTTTTATCCACTATCTCTTTTTACCTCCTCACAAGAGTCCTGTGAGGGCTGTTACAGGCAACTTAAAGGTTAAGCATGTTGATGCTTGAAGAGATGTGACAAGTCACATGACACCTTGCTGATAAGCCTAGGGGTGTTGTGAAGTTAAACAGTCTACTATACTGTCTTCAAAAGGCTGGGCAATTTAACTTGGGCAAGAAAAAGTATCTTTCTTAAGTGATCTTCAAACACAAGGCAGGCACTTAAGTAGTTCCAGAACACAGAATTAAGGTCATTAACTCAGCATATTCTAAAGGAGAAACTTGAAGCAAGGTGTGTTCAGCAGTGGGCTATGTAGACTGTGAATGTTCTTATAAAAGCCTAATGAGAACCTGGTATTACAGATGCTACAGAAGGATTCTAGAAATTGCCTGGGCCAGGTAATTCTAACATATTTCCCATTTCAACATTCCATGGAGGAAAACCATTAAATTTTTTCAGTAGATATTCTTTTTCAATTTTGAAAAAAAATAAAGTTGTGCTTTAAACACTGTGTATTAAAAATAACATAATTAACTTTATTCTAAAAACATACTGCATTTGTAATTAAGGAAAAACTGTATGGAATCATTAAATGGGGATCTAGAGTTGCTTTTGTAGGAGTTAGCCTCCACAAAATAGCCATTGTTGTGAGAACTGCTATGCAAGTCAACATGATAGGAAAAGGGCAGAGTAAGGGGAAAGACGCTGAGAGTAGGATCCAAAAGGAACAGTTGCTTCAAAGTAGAGATAAACTCTCTCAGGTTGTGTGCATTAATCATGTGTCAGAAAGATTACGTCACACCAAAGAAAACACAGCTTCACTAAAAGGTGAAAGGTATTTTGTCTTGCTGGGAATAGAACCAGTGAGTCTATTTTGCAACTCCGCACTTCAACACTGATTTCTCTCCAAAGCATTAATGCAAATCCTCATCCGTTACAAAATCAGTATTTTAACCCCACGTCTTGGGACAGAGGGGCAAAGGCAAAGGATGGCTAACGAGCAGCAGCAGATATATGGATAAGCACAACCCACAGCCAGGGCTTTCTGTACCATCCAGTTTGTCGTCTTGCCAGACCCACACTCAGCAGAGCCTGTGGAATCCCATGGCTGTCGTGACTTCATGTCAGGGGCTAAATAACATCTCTGTATCCAAATTAATGCAGGATTCGTAAACTGATAGTGGCCTTGATGAGATGGCTTGCGGGAGCCAGGACCGAGAAAAATTAGCCCCAGATAGCATGGCAGTCTAAACAGGCACCCTACTTCTGTGTTTTTATTTCCAAAGAAAGAAGTTTTCTCCTAAAGGAAGAATTGGAAGTAGAAGCCAATTGCTAAGTAAGCAACCAAAGAATTAAGAAATCTCATGGACAATTATCACTTTTCCTATTAGTGACATTAAAAGCATGCCAAGTTTGGCTTATTCTTCCATTATTTCCGCTACTTTTCAATTTATTATTAGGATCTGAGTTGGTTACATTATCCTCTCTTGTTGAAGACATCTTTTTGGTCACTCCTAGGATATTCCTTTCTGATTTACCTCAACTGCCCACACTGGCCAGAGCTGGGCCACAGTGGCGCTGGAGGGAGCAGGGACACAGAGACCCTCAGGGCACATGTGTGCAGGCCACTGTGCTGGGAGCAGAGCCAGAGCTGGAAGACAGGCACTCCTATGTGGGATGTGGGTATTGTTAGCCCAAATGCCAGCCTGTGGAATACATTTTTAAAGTTTATGTATTGAAAAAAAATTTATTATCAAGAGGGAAAAATTGCTACTATTTAAAAGTTCACACAAATGTGAAATAGATGTTTAAAATCTCCCTTGGCCCCAGACATATCCACACATTAGGGTAAGAGAACCCTAACTATTCCTTCCTGGAAGGATCCAAACAGTTTAGTGCATTTAAGGGACTAGGACCCAGGGTTCCTTTTGCTTTTTAACACAGAAGGAATTGCCTTGTATACAGATTTAAAGTAAGTGCACCTCGTTCTGTTGTTGTGGCCTAGTGAGCTGAGCTGCCCTCTAGAACGCTTCTATCCTAAACAGCAGTGTCTGGGCTGGAATCTCACCTCTATATTCAATTCAGATTTCTCCTAATGTACAGCTTGCATCCTTGCCACCCATGTAGCAGACCCAGACAGAATTCCTAAATTGACCAAGGGTTGGGATTTGGCATAGTGGTTAGGCACTAGATTCCACTTTCCTACGAATGTAGCAGATGATGGCTCAAGTCACTGCATCTTCTGCCACCCATGGGGAGAAATGGATCAAGTTCTGGACTCTGGGCTTTTGCTGAGCCCAGCACTTGAGGGGTGAACTAGAGAATGGAAGATCTTTTTCTTTTTTTTCTCTGCCTTACAAATAAAATAATAAAACCAATTAGAAAATTCGTGCTACAGCTGACATTCTTCTACAAAGCTACCAGAGATCTACTAGTAAAAAGGAAAATAACAACAAACAAAAAACACAAACCCACAGGATTTGTAGTGTGGCATAGAGGATTAAGCTGTAACCCAAGTCCCAGCTGCTCCACTTCTTATCCAGCTGTTACTGCACCTAGGAAAGCAGCTCAAGATCGCTGGGTAGTTGGATCCCATCTACATGGGGGCCAAATTCTTTGCCGCCAAATAAAATTTGTTATAATCTACATTTTATCTGTAATTTTAAAATACTTAATGTGTTATCTCCTCTAACTCAATTATATTGAGATTTTATGTGCTCTGCTCTTCTATCCCTATACACTAAATTAGAGTGCTTTTTTTTAAGGATTTATTTTTACCTGAGCAGCAGTGTTACAGAAAAACAGATACAGAGAGATCATCTGTCTGCTGGTTCCCTTCCCAACTGGTCCTGGGCTGAGCCAATACAAAGCCAGGGGTTTCTTGTGACTCTTCCGCACTGGTGCAGGGACCCAGGGACTTGGGCCATCCTCCTCTGCTTTCCGAGGCCGTAAGCAGGGAGCTGGGTGGGGAGTACAGGTGTCAGGACATCAACTCAGACATATCCATATGGGATGCCAGCTTCTGCAGGTGGGAGATTAGTGTCTGTAGAGTGACAGCACTACCCCTTCCCTCAGTACCTATTCTTAATCAAATAATGCAACTTAGGAGAAAACTATCTTAAAATGCCTATCATTTTATTAAGTGGATATTTCTTTGGCCCTACTCTGCTCTACAGCAGACTGAAGACTGGGAATATGGGTAGTAAGCGGTCACCATTCTTTGCAAGGTTCACCTAACCTTGCAGAAGCCAGGCATATAAGCAATGATGACAATTTCATTACATTTCTGCTTAAGCACTTTTTTCCTCCAAGGACTGTCATGAAGTGGAATCCTTCACATAATGTTTATTGTGCAAGTCAGCAGGATTTATGTGTTCATCTTTGTTATTAAACATGCACATTACATACAAATCCTGTATTTCAATTAATAACTATTTCACTGAATACCCTTTAAAAAAAACCCCTGAGTTCCATAAACTACTAATCATTCTAGAAAGTGAATATTCCAAAAAGAAATCTCTAGTTCATCTCTCCAAACACACACTTTCTATTCCAGTATATCATGTCACCACACTTAAGCCAAACTTTCTTAAAACTTGCATTCTAGATTCCACTCCTGCCAGGAATGCCTCTCCACAAATTCACATAAGGAATATACACCTTCTGAAATCTATCTCATGCAAGCTTTCTCAATTTCCAAATAACATAATGCCACACTTTAATATGTATTGTAAGTACGCACTGTGCTTTTTTTACGCACCACCTCCCAATTCCCTAAGCAATAAGCTATTAAATGTTATCAAGCATATCTTACTGCCTTTCTATGCCCTCTAAGGTTACAGAAAGTACTGGGAAAATGTTTGCTGATCTAAACAAATCCAATGAAATCACTGTGCAATAAGCAAAAAATATTTTCACACAGTTTCTTAAACAAAAAACATCAAACATACATGTGGAAGAGTAAATTTTATTGACTGATGAAAAACTAAGGTGATAAGGATGGATAGTAAACAATAATCACTGAGTTTCTGGAATCCTCTATTTCTTCTTTTTTCTTTAAGTCAAAAGAACATAAAATTATAGACTATAATGAGCTAGTTGCTTTTAATTCCTTCAACAAAAACTGCATAGTTTAGCAGTTACACAACATTAAATATATACATTTTGTAAAACCCTGAAAGTGTTAGCTTTTGTGTTGACTTGAAAAGCTAATGAAATCACCTACACTGGTCAGACTCAGAGTTTCTTTTCCCTTTTCTGCCACCCTGTAAAGAAAAACACAACACATTCTTTAGGGAATGCCACTTTGGGACTGTTTTCACAATTTCACATTGGAGAATGCATTTTGCACAAGAGAGGAGAGAAATTTCATTGCTGGATCTCTCATACATTTATACAAACTACTACTAAGTAATTTTCATTATTTTATAAAAGGTTAAAGCAGGCTTTAGGAAATAATTTAAATACTTCTATTTGAATTTGGATTAGTGAGATCAATTTATCTTATTTTTTTAGGACTCATTATAAAAATAACATTTTGATTAATATTAACTAAACCACACACTCAAGTTGTTCCATATGATAAAAAGCAAATTTGACAATTCACTTCATTATTGAGTAATACAATTTTTATAGCTCAATTTATAGCTAGGTAAGTCCTGCCTAGTTTTGCACAAATATAATTAGAACTTTGCTTTTGTTAAGTCAGTAGAAAAGTAGGCTTTACTTTTAATACTTAGAAGCATTCACAAATATGTAAACACTAGAGTCAAGGAAAAAGCCAGCATAAAACAATAGAAAATTTACATAAATTACTTCTTAACAAAACGTTTTATGCTTTACTTTGATTTAAAAGGCGAAGTTTTTGAAACTTCATACGCTATCCCTAAATTTCACCGCACATAACGGTTTGACATTATTTACATGGTCTTTCCCGCTTTCATAAACTCTACCAAAGATAGACAAACTTAGGTGATCAGTGCAATCATGTAAATGGTAATATTAAAAAACTTCTGATGCCTTGTCTTCATCGCAGACCTGTTTAATTGGGTTACGATCTGTAGCTCAGAAAGTGTGCCAGTGGTGCTGCTCCCAGCGAGTTGGGAGCTGCTCACCGTGCAGGGGCAGCCCATGCTCACCTAGTAATGACAATCTTTTTTTTTTTCACCTCCCCCAATATCTTCCCCTCCTTTTTTTGGGGGGGGGGCTGTGCTTATAGTTATCTTTCCCTCTTGGGAAATACATTTCCACATTAACTTTTCAAAACAACAACTCAAGAATGCCACTATTCACTCTTGAGCAAACGTGCAAAGATTATACAGAGAAAGCCAGGGTGAATATGTTTTGTGGGACATGAGATGTATGATGACAAATATTTAAGATTTATTTCCTTCTAGATAAGAGGAAAATATTAGTAAACTTAGCAAACAGTTTCTTTGAGGTAGATAACTTACTACAGAAAGGCACTATGACCCTCAATGAGATTTTTAAAGAAACCAAAATAAACATTCCAGTATTTCCTTCAAAGTTCCCCAGGCAAAAGAAATTTCATTCAAAAACTGATTAGATTTCAAAGCTAGGATTCAACAACTTTCATGTTTTCTATGCCACCAGTGGCTCTTGAGTGACTTAAGATCTGTATTTCCACATTAATAAATACATTTTGCTTTACAACCACACCCACATATATATACAAATATATGTGCATGTGACACGGATCATTTCTCCTGATCTATTCAGAAAAAAATCATGATATTTTGTATTGTTTGTCCAGAAAAAAACTCTAAATTTCAGATTGTATGTATAGGGGAAATAATACCAAAACAAAAACTAAGACAAATATCAATGATGTTAGAACCACTGGGTAAATAGGACATTCAGACAGTCTCAAAGCGTCACCCCACACATTACTTTTTAATTAAGAAAACACATCTCTACAATGGAGAGAGCCAGGAGGTGTAATTGTACCCAAGTGATCAAACATCACTCTGTGTCTTCCCTCATGTAGTTTCTTGAATTACTGTCATTATCGCTGTACACATCAGTCTGTATAGTAACCTTAGCATTTAAAGACACAATTATTTGATAAATAATAATTATTAATATATCTGGTGGATAAATTCTGGTCCAAGAATAAAATAGGACATTTTTTATAGATGCTACATATTTTAAATGTATTGTTTGTGATGAAAACACTCCAAATTATAAAAGCATACCTGGTATTTGGCTAATTCTGCTTGTAATACTTTTACTTTAGATCGTTCTTGTTCTAATGCAGCATGAAGTGATGTAACCTATATTGTTCAATAAGAAAAAGACTTTTTGAGGCAAATGCTCTAATTCTTAACATATATCTTTACAATGATGAATTTTTAACAACTAGATGAGCAAATATCGTATGAGAACCCTCTCAGTAATTCCCACTAGCTGTTACAAGGATAGGTCAGACAAGGTCAAATAAGGATGTCCAGTCCAGCAACAGTGTTTAAGTTCAATTGCTTTTATCTCTATATTCACAGTTCAGTGAATACAATTTTCTCCCTAATCTTTAATACACAGCTACTTCCCCTTTCAAGCGGTAAACAGACTCAATTAATGGTCCTTATATAACAGTAGTAAAGTGTCATTTACATAATCGTCTTGAAGTGTCCACTGGCTACATTTCTGTTTAGTCAAGTTTCATAATTTAGGACCAAATGACTGTTGAGGAGAATCTGCCCTGTTTGTTCCATAGTTTCTTACCTGTATAGTTAGCTCATTCTTGATACTCTGTGATTCATCAACTTGCAGAAGTATCTCTGCTTTATCTTTCACTGACAAAAAAAAGGAAGAACAGCAAGAGTCTCTTCGGTCACTCATATTCTTTAAACAATATCCTAGTGATACAGTGCAGTCACAATAATTTCTAGTCTTGGAACTTAATGAAGGTATGTCGATGCTCTTGCAGATCTCTGAGTTCTCATTTGCAAATTTTTGGTCATTATTGTTACAATAGTTTCTCTTAAATATTTTACATTTTTGTGTTTTAAAATATTACACAGATGTAATGGAAGATTAATTTTCCATCTCTACTAAAGGGGAGAAATATACAGAAAATACACATGTAACGGAAAAATCCACAATTTTCAAAACAATGCAGAGTGCTTTTTCATGCTAAATTGTTGGGCTAAGTAAATACCCTAACAAAGAAAATAAAATTACTATTATTTTCTGATTTTTCACATGAATAAAACACTATCAGATAAATGTGGCTCATGTTACCATGACGGGTCATAAAACATCTGGTTTCTTCGAACTACTGATTCATCTAGAGGTTTTTCTATCTGTAGCTCCTATATTTCCTAAGTTCTAGAAATCTCCAAATGGCCAAGAATGTCCAATTGCTAAACTTTTCAGTTCAAAAACAAGGGGCTAGGCATTGTGGTATAGTAGCCCAAGCCTTCACCTGTGCTGCCAGTATACCATATGAGCACTGATTTGTCTCCCAGCTGTTCCACTTCCTAACCCGCTCCCTACTTGTAGCCTGGGAAAACAGCAGAGGATGGCCCAATATACTTGGGTCCCTGCACTCATATGGGTGACTCAGAAGAAGCGCCTCACTTCTGGTTTCAGACTGACTTGGCACAGCCTACTGCAGCCATCTGGGTCAGCAGATGGAAGATCTGTGTCTTCTCTGTTAACTCTGCCTTTCAAATAAAAATAAATCTTAGAACAAACAAGCCAGGGGAGTGGCAGGTGTTGTGGGGCAGGAGGTTAAGTTGCTGCTTTCCCTACATATGGGAGTACCTATGCCTTGAATCCTGGCTGCCCTGTTTCCAATTCAGTTTCTGCTAATGTATCCTTGGAGGTAGAGGCCCAGATTGAGCGATGGCCTTGTTTTGGCCTGGACCAGCCCTTAGTGTTGCAGGCATTGGGGAAATGAACCAGCAGTTCTGCTCTACCCTCCAAGTAGACGAAAATAAACATTAAAGAAAAAAGCTGGGTGGGAAAGCAGGTGTTCGGCACAGTGATTGGAACACCAACATCCTGTGTCAGAATGCTTGTGTTTGAGTCTGGGCGCTGCTCCTGGTTCCAACTTCCTGCTAAAGCACACCCTGGGAAGCAGCAGGGGATGGCTCAAGTACTTGGATCGCTACCACTCAGGTGGAAAAGCCACACTGAGTTCCTGGCTTTTGGCTCCAGCTCTGGCTGGAGCATAGCTCTGGCTGCTGCAGGTGTTTGGGGGAGTAAACAAGGAGATGAAAGCCTTTTCAATGCTTGTCTCTTCCTCTGTCTTTAAATAAACACAAAACTTTTAAAGATCAAGGTAGCAAAGATTGCAAAGGCAAAACTATTAAAATTTAGCAAACAAATATTCAGATATTTAGTATAATACACAGCACAAATTTTCTTAAATAAATACTTTTACTGGAAAGGCAGATACGTTTATTTATAGGAAAGGCAGATCCACAGAGAGGAAAAACAGAAAGACTCCTCAATTCACTGGTTCACTCCCCAAGTGGCTGCAATGGCCAGAGCCGATCCAAAGCCAACAACCAGGAGCCAGGAACCTCTTCTGGATCTCCCATGTCGGTGCAGGGTGCCCAAGGCTTTGGGCCATCCTCCACTGCCTTCCCAGGCCACCATCAGGGAACTGGAAGGGAAGTGGAGCAGCCAGGACATGAACCAGTGCCCACATGAGATCCTAGCACTTGAAAGGGTAGGATTAACTAACTGAGCCACCACTGTTTATGGCCCACAAATCAGACTTAATATGCATATTTTATTATGCTTAATAAAATGAGATATTGTGCCAAGAATTAAATCACAACCTCTTAAAAGCTGACGTGGGATTTTTTACAAATCGATACTTTCTGTTCCTCTACTCCCAGGATTACACACAATCACTGGGAAATTAATAATTATTTTAATTTGTTTGAAAGGCAGAGTTAGAGAATCTTCCATCTGCTAGTTTACTCCTGAAGCCAGGAGCTGGGAGTTTCTTCTGAGTCTTCCACATGAGTTCAGGGGCATGAGCACTTGGGCCACCTTCCACTGCAGGGTGAACACACCAGAATATGGTCTCCCATGTGGGTAACAGAGTGGGCACTTGGGATATTTTCTGTTGCCTTTCTAGGTGTATTAGTAGGAACTTGGAGTGGAAGTAGAGAAGCTAGGAGACTCAAACTGGTTCTCCAACATGGGATGATGGCATTGCAAGTGGTAGTTATAGTTGGGATATCATCAGCATTATCAGCGAGGAAAATTAGTTATTTAATTTCCTCTACTTTTTTTTTATTATGTTTTTATTGAAAAGGCGGATATACAGAGAGGAGAGACAGAGAGGAAGATCTTCCATCCACCGATTCACTCCCCAAGTGAGCGCAACAGCCGATACTATGCCTATCCGAAGCCAGGAGCCTCTTCCAGGTCTCCCACGCAGGTGCAGGGTCCCAAAGCTTTGGGCCGTCCTCCACTGCTTTCCCAGGCCACAGGCAGGGAGCTGGAAGGGAAGTGGGGCTGCTGGGATTAGAACCGGCGCCCATATGGGATCCCGGGTGTGCAAGGCGAGGACCTTAACCACTTGTGCCACCACGCTGGGCCCTTAATTTCCTCTACTTAGGAAAAATTCATGTCTTGATCTATGTCTTATGGTTATAATATGTTTACATACTATACCACATTTTTAAAATAATATGTATTTCCCTTCCTGCTGTGACTGAAAAAAAATTATCAGAACTCTCAAGGTACCATTAGGTATATATATTCAGGAACACATTTGATATGGGGGACCTTCATATAAAATCAACTTCATTAATCTTATCTCTGATCATTTTTTCACTTTCTGCTGATAATTTTTTGTCCAAAAAGTATAGTGTACTGGCAAAACTGTAGGAGCAGTAGGGGAGGGTTGAGGAAGGAAGGAAACAAGAAGGAAAGGAACATGAAGGAAACTGTGCAGTGCCACAGCTCCTCTCCCTGAGTAATCACAAAACAGAAGCCTGCGCCAGCTCAGTGGCAGCGCACACTAATCCTCCACCTGTGGTGCCAGCATCCCTTATCGCTGGTCATTCATGCTCCAGCTGCTCCACTTCTGATCCAGTTCCCTGCTAATGGCCTAGGAAAGCAGGCAAGGATGTCCTAGCTCTTTGTACTACTGCAGCTAAGTGGGAGAGCCAGAAGTTACTTAGCATCCAGCTTCAAACAGGTCCAGCTGTGGCTGTGGGGGCCATTTTGGGAGTGAACCAGTGGTTGAAAGATCTGTCTCTTCATCTCGGTAATTCTTCCAAGTAAACTAAATAAATCTTAAAAAAAAAAAAAACTAAGCAAATATTAGATTTGATTTTTCTTTTAAATAAAATCAAATAGTTTATAATAATTATAATCATAAGGATATCTTTTACTTGAATAGTTACCAGCTTGTATAATTCTAAGGTACTGTAAAAGAATGACTTTAGTCAAAACATTATTATCATCTTTGGAAACTGCTTTGTTTTAGTAAGTTGAAAAATCATATATCTTCAGATTCCCTGCAGATTCAAGATAAACTTTTAAGTTTAAAAATACACAAATCACTTACTTTCACCTTCCTGAAGCATTTTCAATAATTGTGCGTTTCTTGCTTTTACTTCTTTATACTTTGCCTAATAGTCAAAGAAAAAAATTTTTAAAAAAGCAAATAGTAAAAATTCAGTGATTTATCAATTTGTCAAGATGTAAACTTTGGGCTTTCTCAATGACATAAGTTGTTTTTGAGAGAAACATGATGAACGTAGACACATTCAAAACTGTCTACCACTTAAGTATTTGGTAAAGATAAGATACTAATATTACAGGCGAATGGAGAGAAGTGGGAGAATAAGAAAAGCCAGAGTAATACTAAACAATTTTCTCCAAATAAAACCCTTATACAATTCAAAACAGTTTAGGTGAAAACCAAAAGAAAATTATTTAGTTCTACACAGTACTGTCCAGCCATATATTTTCTATAAGTTCACAGGTGAGGTATAATATTTTGTTCTTGCATTAAGTCATTACTGTTAGTAGTTTTTGGCTGCTATAAATTAGTGCTTTACTGACATAGCTTTTACGTCTTTAAAAATTTCTTTTTCCAAATGGTTTAGCTTCTTCCATGTTACATTTTACAACTGCACATTTATGAACAAGAAGTATTCTGCGGCATTAACATCCACATTGTAGGTGACTTTCTGCCTTCACTACCTTTATTTGGCCTGTGCTGTAACATTCTTTTAAATTTACATTACTATATTAAATAATAAATGTAACATACTATAGAAAAAAAAGCCTAATGAAGACATATTAATATAAGAAACTTATCTATGTATACAGATGTGCATAGAATTTAGTTGATTTGCAAAATCTGTAAAACACATATTTATTAAAGGCGGCTTTCATTTATACTTATTTATTTTCATTTATATTTATTAAAGTCCATTAAAGGTGACTTTCAGTAAATGGCACAGTGAATTGAAACAAACACTACAAGAGAAAGTCAGTAAGACTTCTGAGAAAGTTTGAAATGCATGTTAGAGGCAAGTCAGATGGAAACGAAAGCATGAGAGGGAGAAACACTCACAGTAACTGTTACTGCGCATATGAAACTGTTCTCAGTGTGCAATGGGTTTCAATCCATGTTAACATCTCACTGAACTCCCCCTCTCGATCACCTCTTACTCTATTTTGCAGTCTGAAATCAGCCCCCAAAGCAAAATTACAAGTAAGCAAAATTATCCATGAAAAATTCCTTACACTAGCTTATAAAAAGTAGCACAACTTTGTACTTACAATCCTGAATGCATGCATCCACAAAAACAGAAATGTATAAAATAGTAGCATATGATTTATTAAAAACAGCAAATATGAAATACACAATGCCCTAATTAGCATTTTTCATTTCACGAAGAGAGCATAAAGAATGGATATATGTATGTTGTGGCTCCATTGTGTCCAACTAAGTCCCAATCATGCACATCTGCATTTATCACAGCCATTTCAAGCTCAGTATCTACAAAGTGGAATCAGCTAGCTTTCCAAACCAGTGCAGAAATTGCCCAGGGAAGCAGACAGTTAGCCTAGCAGTTACGCTGCCTGCATCCCACATCTGAGTGCCTGGGATCAATTAGCAGCTACAACTCTTCACTCTGGTTTCACATGGACGCACACCATGGGATGCAGCAAAGATGCTCAACTCTTTGGGTCCCTGCCACGGTCATGGGACATCTGGACTACTTCTCTGTCCGATGGCAATAAACCAGCAGAAGGGAGAGTCCTCCTGTGTCAGTCTCTCTGCCTCTCAAAATAAAAAATTAATAAAGTACTTTGCTCTTGCATTCAATATTTATTATTTTGCCAGACTCTCCTTAGTACGGATTTCAGTTGTATACTATCATCCTATAAAACAATTCTTTCATCACTTCCTTCCAAAGACCTTTACTGCACTCCTCAAAACCCAATGCCTCCAAATTCATGTTTACATGTTACATTTTTATTAATATGTAACACCTGTATATTTTTATGGGCTAGGTGGAATACTTCAACATATGCACACAGTACAAATTAAATCAGGCAACAAACCTAATTCTTTACATTAGGAGCCTTCCAATACCTTACACACAGTGAAACAATGTGAACTACGATCATCCCACTGTGCTATCAAACAGACTGGAGCTTGCTACTTCTACCTTACTGTTCTAGTATCCAGTATTCAACCAAATGCATTCCAATCTCCAATCTTCCCTCCTGCAACTTTCCATCTCTCTGAACATGAACTATAATGTACTACTCCCATGCTTTTATATATAGTGTTCTATCTGGCAAGATCCTCTTTTCTGTGAGATTTTTTCTAGTTCTCAATAGCAGTACTCATTGTGAAGCTTCAATGGCAATCCTTACACTATGCTCTGACTCTTTACATGTTTGTTCCTCCCATTAGACTCTGTGTTGTGTGCTAACTCATCTTTATATTCCCTATAATCAGTGTAAAAAAAAAGTGGAAAATGTAAGTGACAAATAAAGGGCGGCTGCAGTCATAATGCATTTCAGCAGAGCTGATTTTTACATACATGAGTTTAGTATGAAAGTAAATTAAGAACACTTGGGGCTGGAACTTGATTTGTTCATTTTCCCTCACTATTGAAAACATGTTCCAGGCACTCAAGAGGTATTGTTAAGTGAATTATTGTTAGTAAAAAAAAAAAAAATGAGACTTTTCTAAAAAGTTACACTAGGAATAGAGAGTAACAGGAAATTTGTAATTAAAAATAAATTATATACACCACACATCAGTATTGGTTGGGTTGTGTAGAAAACAGAAAACTTGTGCACTGTTGGTAGGAACATAAAATGTTAACAACTGGCTCCCTGCAGTGTGGCAACTGTGGGGGGTGCCCCTGCCGGGTCTGACCCAATGCGGGGGGACTCACGCCAAAGACACTGCCGCAAGGCAGTGAAGAGTCCTTGGGCTCCCCCAGGACCCAACAGAGCTCTTCCCTCAGGGTAAGTCCACCATGAGGGAACTTGGGAACTGGGTGGAAATTCCTAGCTCTGCACTGCTGCTAAGATCATGCGGCTGGGGGAGTTTGGGAGGAGTTGGGTCCTTGGGCTTGGGGGCATCTGACGCTCCCTGCAGTGTGGCAACTGTGGGGGATGCCCCTGCCGGGTTGGACCCAATGCGGGGGTCTCACACCAAAGACACTGCCACAAGGCAGTGAACGAGTCCTCGGCCTCCCCCAGGGCGGCCAGTACACCAAGTGGTGCCAGGCTTTGTCTGCTGGCCGCCCGGAAGGGCGAACTCTGGGGTTTTCAAGATATGTATTTGCTGCCTGGGGTCACTCATGACTAAGACTAGGTTGAGTATAGGTGCAAAGTGAATTTTCGGGTATTCTCAGTGACAGGGTCATGAAAGATTTAAGCATGCGAGGGGACTAAGACCTAGTGGTTTTAGGGAAGTATCCAGAAGATAATTTCAGTAAGACAGATGCAACAGCTCAATTATGAATACAGAGATGGGATATTAGTATAGAACATCACTGGTCGCCACACACTAGCCCACACCAAAGCTATGGATGGAGGCCTCTTGGGCAGTGTTGGGTACCACTGCCCGACTGAGTGTTGGAGTTGTGGAGTGGTCACATTTCACAGGATCAAGACACTATCCAGCACGCAAGAGAACTTGGGCTGGGGGTAGACTCTGTGGGGTTGTGTGGGCCCAACCCTTTGGAATACAAGTCCCCTGGGTTAGCTCGCAAGCTGGGGTTGCAATGGTCTAAGCTAGGTGTGACCATGCCACCTGCCATCACTCATGGGTAAAGGATCCCACAACAGTCAGGGTAGGTCAAGGCAGCAGCACCCAAATGTGCATCTTTAAACAGGATGTGGGGTGGGCCAGGCTGCCACTGGTAGGGGGCAGAATGGGCAGGGCTGAACAAACCTTAACTCACAAGAAACAACAGAAATCAGGTTGGAGCACAGCTCATGCCATGTAGGTCCTTGCATATACTGATCTGCGTGAGGCAGAGGCACTAAGCCACAGCATCCAAGGAGCCAGGACAAGTGAGGGGCTCTGCCAAGCGGAGATAGAACAATCACCGGCCTACACCTGCTCTATGGCAGGGAAGAGGCCCGGTTGGGGAAATAACGGGACAGCCTAGCTGGGTTGAGGTTCCCACCAAGGAGCACATGGGCTAGAACTGAGGCTGCATTCTGATCAGGATACGATTGTAATCTCACTTGGCACAAGTGTGGACTGGGACGGGAAGCACCAAGCCAGGCCAGATTCCGACACCATCTGGTGTTCTAGAGGACCAGGGAGAGATGTGTGACAGACTAGGCTAGGTCTCAGCCCTTACTGAACCATGTGTGAGCTGTGTGGGGGTATGGAAGAGCCATGGCTGGGTTGAAATATCCAACAACAACCAGCTTGGGTCGAAGGCCAGTCAGGAAAAGCCACTGTTCCTCCTAGGATAGGAGGCGAACTGAGTAGTGCTGGCTCATGGACCCACTGGTATGCGCGAAAACTGGCACTGGGCGAGGTTCTGGTGGAGGAGCCTGGCCAACTTCTCTGGCAGGACACAGTCCCATGCAGGTAAGCGCAAGAAGCACAATAGGGAATGACCCAGAACAGGCAATGAAAATTATCCCACTGGCATACACATGGCATGGGTTGGGGGCAGACCAGCCTGAATCTGTTCACATTACCTTCTGGTGAATCCGAGCACCAGAACAGAGTGTGGGTCGAGCCAGGTTCGGTTGCAACACATATCAGTACACAACAAGTAATGCCAAGGTGAGATGAGCCGTACCAGATGTGGCTGCAGCACACAAACAGCACATGTGACAATCGGGGAGGAGAAAGCCGACAGGGGAACGTAGGCACCCCTGCTGGATAACTACTTCCATTGGAAAATGTGAATACAGATGGGGGCACTTCAGACTAGGCAGAGCTATAGCACCTGTGGGCCTCATGGTGAGCTGACTGTTCTGACTGGTGCGAGTTAAAATTAGAGTGGGTTGAGGGGTGTTTGGGATTAGCCACAGCATTAGCTGGCAGAGGCTGGTACTGGGAGCTAATTCTGTCAAGTCAAATGCCAAAACCACCTGGAGACTGCATACTCTGGGAGTGGGTGTGGCCTAGTAGGGAAATAGTGGGCACCTCCCTCAGGGTTACCACCCTCACTGGACAGCACGAAACCCAGGCTAGGAGCAGGGGGGCTAGACAGAAAGGCACCTGCCAGTAGGTGTATGGGCTGGATAATAGGTTGGTTGGGTTGAACTAGGCTTCAATGTCCATTGACGTGTGCGAGAGATAAATGGGATGTGGGACAGACTGGACAAGCCTGCGGTGCATACTGGCAAGCATGGGAACCAGGGTAGGGGGCAGAACTGGTAGGGGTTATGGGGAGTTGCCCCAACTAGGCTACAGCTCCCACTGGTTTGCGTGAGGACTGAGTATGAAGTGGGTAGAATTGAGCTGGATTACAACACCTGTTGGTTCACAAGGAAGACAGAGCTGGAAACAGAACTGACCCAGCAATCGCAACGACCAGCATATGCATAAGCTGATTGGTGTGACGAACAGTGTTGGAGTCTGTACTAGCAAACTCACTCAAGAATCAGATCTGGGATCAACTCAGATGAAGTTTCTTTGGATATCTCTCCAACTGAACTGCTGATCTTGGAACCCCAACCATCAAGAGACTGTCAGCCAGTGGACTCTGAATAGGTTTCATTGCAGTTGGGACGGCGAGATTGGCAGCAATCCAGAACTGATGAACTATCAGAACTGTTCGAGCAGGACCCTTGGAGCGCGCCTCATGTTGGGGATCAGGGATGGGTGGAAGGTGGGGGGGGGGGTGCTTTTCCCTTTGTTACTCCCCTAACCCCAGATACAGGGCAAAATGATATTAGTGTGGAAACAATGATATTACCCACTTTCACCCTGTAGCCTTTGGCCCTTTGTACCCTAATACACTAAGATTATATATAAAAAAAAGAAATGTTTGAAAAAAAATGTATACAACTACTGTAGAGAAGTTTGGTAGTTCCTCTAAAAGTTCAACATAGAATTACCATATGATCTAGCTTTTTGACTTTCAAGTTTGTAACCAAGAACTAAAAGCAGAGAATCATATATTTGCACAATGAACAAAATGCATTATACACATATAATGGAAAAAAGAATAAATTCTGATACTTGCTACAACATGGATGAACCTTGAAAACATACTAAACAAATTAAGTCAGACACTGGAGGATAGACATAGTAGGATTCCACCTATCTGCAGTAACGGGAATGGAATTCATAGACACAGGCTACCAAAAGCTGGGAAAATAAGAATAGAGGGCTGTTTTCTGGGTGCAGTTTCTGGTCAAGATGATGAAAAAAGTTCTGGAAGTAGACAGCAGTGGTGATTAAGTGATACCATGAAGGCAATAATGGCACAGAACTAAACACTTAAAACGGGTATGTTATATATATTTTCCATTGTGAAAAAACTTACTACCATCCTGTCTTTAAATAAGTTTTAAAACCTAATTACTAAATAACCTAAATAATTACTTTTAACATCAAATGTTAAGCATATTTACATAAGAGAAACAGAAAATGTACAATTTATAGACTTTTCCTTCATAGCAGTAAATAGACACACACCTCCCACTGAGTGATCACAGTTTTTAGCTTCTGGATTTCAACATCTTTTCTCTCAAGTTCCAACTTCAGTCTTTCAATTCTTCCATCTTTTAAAACCACTTCCTAAAATAAAGTATAACACTATTTTTAGGGCTAAAATTATTTTTCCAATTCTGGTTTGTAATAAAGCCTTCTGAAAAGTTGAAAAGGAAAAATCCTGACTTTAATTATTTAATAAATAAATAAAATAAGTGACAAATAAATAAAAGAATTAACTTTAAATAATTATTTTTTCTGTGGCGATCTTAAACTTGGCACTACATTACTACTTTAACTCAATTATATAATCCTAACTACAAACACCACAAATAAGATATTTATGATAAATCTCAAAATACAAACATTCCTTACAACAGTATCAAAACTTTGACATAAAATTCTATTTGGAAATAAACATAATGGAAGTACTCTGGGAAAGCAATTAATATCCTGAAAACACAAAAGAATTGAAAAATGACATTCAAAATATGAAAAACAAAAATAAGGAACACTGCTCTTCAATATCAATTACCAGGTTGAGAACAAACTAATAAAATAATCTATCAACAGCAAAATAAAAGTTTAAAAGTTTAAGTAAGAGTCATTCTAAAAATTACACAATTTTGAAAATTACACAAAATATATTTGTAGTTGGGAAGGCTAAGTATAACTTGTAAGCTTGAATTTCTATTGGATTTAACTCTTTGAAATAGAGTAAGACTGTAAAGACAAGACTGTAAAGACTCCAACTAGGAAAATACCAAGTAATCATACATTATAAAGCAAGAAGTAATTATGCGATCATGGAACTTACATAAAACAGCAAAATATCATAAATGTCCAGGAAGAGACTTGATATTTAAACAGCTTTTTATAGCCTCGTATTTTTTAGAATTTTTTTGTGAGACTAAGGTGAGATTTGTGATAAAGAGAAAGAAAGAGAGAAAGCAAGAGAGAGGACAGAAAAAAAACAGGAGGGAGAGCGGGAGAGAAACTTCTACCTTAGGACTAGAAGCTAGACTCAGGAGCCAGTGAGAACCCAACCCAAGTATTCACATGTAGTGCATTGATATCTTAGCAATTACGCCGAATGTCTGCCTATGAAGATGCTATTTTCAAAAAGTGAGAAAAGAGACCCAGACCAGTAGCCCTGTGGCTAAATCCTTGCCTTGCATGTGCTGCCTGGATCACATATGGGTGCCAGTTCACATCCTGATTGCTCTACTTCCCATCCAGCTTCCTGCTTGTGGCCTGGGAAAGCAGTGGATGGTGGCCCAAAGCCTTGGAACCCTGCACCTACATGGCAAACCAGAAGAAGCTGCTGGATTCTGGCTTCAGATTGAGTCAGCTGTGGCTATTGTGGTGTGAATCAGTGGACGGACAATCTTTCTGTCTCTCCATCTCTCTGTAAATGTGCCTTTTCAATAAAAGTAAATAAATCTTTTAAAAGTGTAAAAAGAGTAAATTACAGAATGATAGTCTATAAAACAAAAGTATAACTGAAAAATCTATTTCTAACTACAAAGTTATACTTTTGATAAGAACAGAAATTGGTTGTATCTACCCAAGAAGTAAATGTGGCAACACTAATATATTCTATAAATATTGATAATCTAACTGCTAACTGCTGGGTGTAGAAAAATGAATAGAAATAAAGACTCCAGGATTTGGTATTGTGGTACAGTGGCAATGCCAGCACCTAATATCAGACTGCTGATTTAGGTTCTGCCTACTCGGCTTCTGCCCCAGCTGCCTGTTAATGTGCCTGAGAAGGCAGAAGATGGTGGCCCAAGTACCTGGGTCCCTGCCATCAATGTGGAAGATCAGGTGGTAGCTTGGATTTTAGCTTTAGCTTGTTCTAGCCCTATCTGCTATGGCCATTTGGGGAGTAAGCCAATGGTTGGAAGACTGGTGTCTCTCTCTCTCTCTCTCTCTCTCTCTCTCTCTGTTGCTCTGCTATACATATAAATAAATACATCCCTTTAAAAATGTATTTATTTATATTTATTGGAAAGTCAGATTTACAGAGGGAAGGAGAGACAAAGATCAAAGATCTTCTATTCACTGGGTCACCCCCCAAGTGGCTGCAATGGCCAGAGCTGAGCTGCTCTGAGGCCAGGATCCGGGAGCTTCTTCCAGGTTCCCACGTGGGTGCAGAGTCCCAAGGCTTTGGGCAATCCTCAACTGCCCTCCCAGGCCACAAGCACCGCGCTAAGAGAGAGAAGCAGAGCAGCCAAGATACAAACTGGTGCCTATCTGGGATCTCAGCACACTCAAGCTGAAGACTTTAGCCACTAGGCTACCATGCTGGGCCCATAAATGAATAAATCTTAGAGAGAAAGAAAGAGAGAGAGAATGTTTAAAAGTTTCTAGTCCTCATGGGACTTGTTTGGTAATGAATGTAGATAGCATGTAAACAAATGCCACAATGAGAAACTGAGGTTTAAGCTAAGAAGAAATAGTGCTACAAAGGGAAGCGTAGCTGGAGCAAGTAAGGGGCGAGTGTACAACCTGACTGGAAAAACTGGTAGAGAGATGATCTTGGAGGTCCCTCCAGACCATAGGAATAATCTAATGTTATTTTGAATGAAATGGGAAACAATGAAGGATTTTGTGTCAGACTTTTAGCTTTATGTTTATATGTAAGGATTCCTTTTATCTGTGTGGAAAATGTCATGAAATGGAGATAAAACAAACAAACAAAAAGATTATTTGCTATATAAACCCAAATCCAGTGAGATTATACTTTGGATTAAGGTGAAATAGTATAAATGGAGAGAAGTGTATTTGAGAAATAATCTGGAGGCAGAATTAACAGCCTATGAATTGTGGCAATCTCAGTTTCTGGTTTATCCAATAGGTGAAGACATAAATTAGAAATAAACGAATATTCAGCTCACTTCTGGGAATTTATCCCAAGTAGGTAAATGAGTGGCAGAATATCTATGAGCGCATCTCTTGTAAATCCCTGCCCCTCCCCTCAAAAAACCTAAGACTAAGTGTGGTAAATCCGTACAACTAAAAACTCAAAAGTCTTTAAAAATACTGACATAGAAGTATAAAAGATGTTCACATAATCCCCAAATATAATAATGTGGGCAAAGAAATAATTTTGTAAGCTCATATATTAACGTTTTTTAAAGATTTGTTTATTTTTATTGCAAAGTCAGATATACAGAGAGGAGGAGAGAGAGAGAGAGAAATATCTTCTGTCCGATGATTCACTCCCCAAGTGACCACAATGGCTGGAGCTGAGCCCATCTGAAGCCAGGAGTCAGGAACCTCCTCTAGGTCTCCCACGCGGGTGCAGGGTCCCAAGGCTTTGGGCCGTCCTCGATTGCTTTCCCAGGCCACAAGCAGAGAGCTGGATGGGAAGTGGAGCTGCTGAGATTAGAGCTGGCACCCATATGAGATCCCAGCGCGATCAAGGTGAGTGCTAGGCCACTGTGCCAGGCCCTCATACACTTAAATTTAATGATGACTTTTTTGTATATGAAATTTTAGACAGCTTCACTCTGTTGTTTACAATTTTCCTTTCAATAAAATTAAATTTGTAAGGATGGATCAATAATTATCTTATGTTTGAAAAAAATGCAACCATACAAATGTTTTTTAAAATGTAGATGAATATGGTTATCACCTTTGAATAGGAAGGCTCTTCTGAAATGGACACTAAAGACGGATAACAAAAAGAAAAAGATTGAAAGATCTGATAAAATGTAAACATATACTATGAGAAAATTTAAAAAGATAAATGAAAAACTAGTAAAATCGATGGTTATTAGTATGACTGAAAAAACCGCAAGAAATTGTGCTTTCTCACTAATATGTAAAATAATTTTATTAAGCGAATATGTTCAAAATTTTTTCTTGGTAGAGGTAATTATACTTACACATTATGTGAAGTAATTGACATACAAAAACTAATCACTAGAGGATCATATGGTTTTTACTTTTCAATTTGTTGATGTGATGTATCATTGTTTATTGATTTGCAGATGTTGTACCATCCCTGCATGCCTGGGATGAATCCCATGTGGTCTCGGTGAATGATCTGCCTGATGTGTTGTTGGATCCTGTTGGCTAGTATTTTATTGAGGATCTTTGCATTTATGTTCATCAAGGATATTGGTCTGTAGTTCTCTTTTTCTGTTGTTTCTCTATCTGGCTTTGGTATTAAGGTGATATTAGCTTCATAGAGAGAGTTTGGAAGGATTGCCTCTCTTTCTAATATTTGAAAAAGCTTGTGTAGGATTGGGATTAAGGTCCTCTTGGAACAGTTGGTAGAATTCAGCAGTGAAGCCATCTGGTCCAGGACTTTTCTTGGTTGGGAGGGCTTTAATTACTGATTCAATCTCAGTACATGTTATTGGTCTATTTAGATCGTTAATTACTTCTTGATTCAATTTTGGTGGACTGTATGTGTCCAAAAATCTATCCATCTCTTCTAGGTCTTCTGATTTGTTTGCACATAGTTGCTTGTAATAGTTCCTGATGATTCTTTGTATTTCCGAGGTATCTGTTGTTATATCTCCTTTTTCATGTTTGATGCTATTGATGTGTATTTTCTCTCCTTTTTCTGATTAGCTGGGCTAGTGGGGAGTCTATTTTGTTGATTTTCTCAAAGAACCAGCTCTTTGACTGATTGATCTTATGTATAGCTCCTCTCTTGGTCTCTGTTTGGTTTATTTCCTCCCTTATTTTGATTATTTATTTTTTCCTACTAATCTTGGGGTTGCTTGCTGTTGTTTTTCTGGTTCCTTCAGCTGTAAGGTTAGCTGATTTACTTGATGCTTTTCTAGTTTCCTGACATAAGCATTGATTGAGATGAACTTTCCTCTTAGCATTGCCTTGACTATGTCCCATAAATTTTGGTATGTTGTGTTGATGCCTTCATTTGTTTCAAGCAGTTTTTAAATTTCCCCTTTGATTTCCTCTCTAACCCACTGCTCATTTAGTAACATACTATTCGGTCTCCATGTGTTTTCAAGTCTTCCTTGGTTTCTAGCTTCACTCCATGATCGTCTGAGAATATGCATGGTATAATTTTGACTTTTTAAAGTTTGCGCTCACTTCGGCAGCATATATACTAAAATAATAAAATTTGCTAAGGCTTTTTTTGTGGCCTATAACATGGTCAATTCTGGAGAAGTTTCCACGTACTGATTAAAAAAAAAAGTATATTTTCTGTCTGTAGGATGAAGGGTTCGATAGATGTCAACTAAGTCCATTTGCTCTAGCGTTTGAGTGAGTTCTATCGTTTCTTTGCTGAGCTTCTGTTTTTTTGATCTGTCCATTGAAGTTATAGGGTATTAAGGTCTCCCACTATGATAGCACTGGAGTCTATTTCACCCTTGTTTTTTTTTTTGTTTGTTTTTGGCTGCATCTCATGTGTTTTGATGCTTCTTGTCTCAGTTTTATTTATTCCACAGACTTTCTTTTTTCTCTTGTCAAATTCATTGCTGGTTCATGGATTACACAGTGGCATCCTTTTTCCCAAGTCATTTTTGTTTCCTTTTTGTCACCCATGTGTTAGTTACTCAGTGGCGCATTTTTTTCATGGTGCTGTAATTTGTTTTTGTCATTGTTGCTGTTGTTGCAATTGTTCTAACTCATACCTTGTTGACCTTGTTTCATGGCTTCTCAATTATGGAAATGTATACAGTAATGGAGTACTGGGGTCCACCATATCAAAATGTGGGTGTATAATGCAACATTCATTCCTGCTTCCAGATGAAAAATGGATTTCCAATTAAACTTGAAAATATATAGACAATGAGATGCTGGACTGTCTGACATTGTACCAGCAATGCCGGGATACACTTAAAAGACTGATGAAATTGATTTCTTATAAAGGACTATACCATTGTAAAATGGGGAAAATCTGTCAGGGTGTGGGAGTTTGAGGGGGAATCCCAGTCTATACGAAATTGTACCACATATTCAAAACTTCAAAATAAAAATATATAATTTAAAAAAAAAACAAAAAACCTAACTAATCACTAGAAATGTTATCTGAAGTTAACTCAAAAAGTGCTCTATATACCAGTTTCTACATTACTAAGTCCATGAAAAGTAGGACCATATTAAAATATCAATAGTCTGCTCCAAGAGAATAAAATTAGAATAAAATTAGATCATTCTGCTCTCCCTCACTCTACCACAATCACAGTGCTGGCTCCTGACTCCAGCTTCCTCCTACTACAGACCCTTTGAGGTGCGGGTAATGACTCAAATGACTACATCCCTGCCATCCATGTGGGACAGAGACCTGAACCGAGTTGCCAGCTTCTGGTTTTAGCCACAGCTTAGGGCTGTTGTGGGAATCTGGGGAGAGAAGCAATGGATAGGATCTCTTTATCTCTTTCCAACAAAGATGCAGCTGAAAAATACTGTGTCATGAATATAAGCCACATTACTCATTTTTAGAAATATAAATGCCAGGTGGCAAAAGTCCTTGCCTTGAAGGCATGCCAGGATCCCATTTGGGCACCGGTTCTAATCCCAGTGGCCCCATTTCCCATCCAGCTCCCTGGTTGTTACCTGGGAGGGCAGTCAAGGACAGTTCAAAGCCTTGGGCCCTGCACCTGCATTGGGAGACACAGAAGAAGCTCTAGATGGGCTCAGCTCCAGCCACTGCAGCTGCTTGGGCTGTAAACCAGCGGACATAAGATCTACCTCTCAGTCTCTCCTCCTCTCTGTATATCTGACCTTCCAATAAAAATAAATCTTTAAAAAAACATATAAATGCCATTCTCATTTTTTAAAAGTTCCATTCTTATGAGCCTTTCAAAGAGCAGACCACTGACCATAGTTTATATGTGGGCAGCAGTTTACCATGTAGTGTATTATAAATATCTAACTTATTAATTTCACAGAAAAATTTTTATAACCTAATTTCAATCTGTTTAATTAGTCATGTTACCTCACAGTCATTTTTTTTGTTAAATTTTTATTTTGAATTTTTGAATGTTGTGATACAACACAAAATCTATACTTCTTACCCATACAATGTCTCCTGAATATTTAGTCTATGGCCATCATAACTCAGGGCCGCTGTTCTTACAGTTCCCTCACTGGGTTACAAACCCTTTCTGTTTCTGAGCTTACAGTTACCCATCATTAGCTCTTACCTCAAACATCATTTATTAATATCTCCATCACAATTCACCTAAGCACAATTCTATTACCTTCTCCATACAAAATCTTTTTTCTTTACTGTTGGCTTATCTTTTAAAAGTCTTCTTTATGCTCAATAATGCCTTTCTAGTTCTATTTTCTCCTATCTTCACTACCTCTGTGATCCTAAGGAAAGAAGAGTCTTAACTGCAGTTGGTGCAGTGGCATAGCCAGCTAAAGCTCTGCCTGCAGCACCAGTATCCTAAACGTATGTCAGTTCCAGTCCTGGCTGTTCCACTTCCGACCAAGCTCCCTGCTTGTGACCTGAGAAACCAGAGGAAGATGGCTCAAATCCTTGGGCTCTACACCCTTGTGGGAGAACTGGAAGTTGTTCCTGGCTCCTGGTTTTGGATCAGCTTACCTCTGGCCACTGTGGTCATTGGGGGAGTGAAACCAGAGGATGGAGGACCTCTCTTTGTCTCTATCTCTCCTGTTTTTCAAATAAAAATAAATAAATCTCTTAAAAAAACACAAAGGTCTTAACCATGTTGGTGTCCTGTTTTCTCAAATCAGTCCCTAACAGTATATAGAATATAACACATAATAAAGTCATAAATGAATAAACTTCATACTTTATCCTTATTACATCCTTATCCTTATTTACATCTTTTTGTGATAATGACTAAAACATTACCTAAGCTAGTACTTTACACAATCAAAATTTGATTCCACAGCTTACTTTTTTCAAAAAGAGAAAAATTTGCATCATTCCATTGTGATTTAACAGAATTTCTATTTTACATGCCTGGTTATGTTCAGGAGTTGTACCATTATCTGTTCCATTATATTCTGAAAGTTGCTCTCTTCTTTTTTCTCTAATAAGAATTTTATGAACATCATCTTCCAGTCTATTGAAAAATCCTCCATCATGTGATAAAGTCTGAGAAGTACTCAATTCCTGCCAAAAACAAATAGGATTTACTAGCATTCAACACAAAATTACATGCCTTTAATAAACCTAGTCAGTCACAAGAATTAAAAAAAAAAAAGAAAGAAAGAAAGAAAAGAAACGAAGGAAAGGAAACTGGTAACTAACAGACAACCAACCCATTGACTCCAGAATACAAACAGTATATATAAAGCCGGAAATGTCCTTTTGTTCCTTCTTCCATTTCTGGAGTTGAGTATAATACTTGATTTTTAAGTTTTTGTTATTCTGTACGCAATCCATCCATTTAATTTGTGCAAGTCAATGGTTGTTTAAGGTATTAAGAGTTGTATCAACTCTCAATCTTGGAACATTTTCATCACAGCAAGAAGCAATCACTCTTCATTCCTCCTAGTGCTTTCTCCCCAGCCCCAGGCAACATTAATCTGCTATCAATTAATAAATTTGCAGATATTTCATGTAAATGAAATACTCTACAACATGTCATTTTGTGACTAGTTTGACTTACCAAAATGTCCTAAAGGTTCATCCATGTTATGGCACAACTCAATAATTTACTTCTTTTTATTACCAAATAATTGCCTATTCTAGTTTATTACTCTATTCATTTGTGTTGATAATCACCTGAGTTATTTCTACTTTTTGACTATTAAGAATAATGCTGCCATGAAAATTCATGTGTAAGATTTTGTGTGGACACATTTTCAACTACCTTGAATATATACCTACAAGTAGAATTGCTGGGTCATATTTTGGTAACTCTATGTTTAATCTTCTGAGATATTATCAGATGTAATCATCAGGGCAAGAGTTCCAATTTCTCCACACTGGCAGGAGCACTTATTACTGTCTATCATTATAGCCACCTTTGTGGGCAATGTAGTGGGATCTCACTATGGTTCTTAGCTGCATGTCCCTGAAGAATAATGGTAAACACCCTTTGAGTGTTTGTGAGACATTCAGGCAACTTTTGGAAAACGTCTGCCGAGATACTTTGCTAACTGACATTTTATTAGAATGGTCTCTAGATAGTGAAAAACATGGAGAGTGAAATCTCCCATCTACTGGTTCACTCCCTAAATATAAACAAGTCTTGGAACAGCCCAGCTGAAATGAAAGCCAGAAACTCAATCCATGACTCCTAAGAAGGTGGCAGACACAAATATTTGAACCACAACCTGCTGCTGCCTCCCAGCATGTACATTAGCAGGAAGATTGAACAAGGAACACAGCCAGAAACAGAACCCTGGCATTCTGAAATGGGACAGGGTTCTCTTAAGTGGTATTTCACCACTGAGAAATACTTGTAGGTTACCTGGCCTCTTAAGTTCGTGATGTACTTTATTTATACAAATACAGCTTATGTAATATAATATAATGTACAAATATTTCTCCTATTCTGTGAGGGTTTTTTTTGTTTTTTTTTTTTGTTTTTTTTTTTTGCATCTGCTTTCTTCCTGGTATCTGTTATCCATCAGAAAAGATTTAAGTTTTCATAAAGTCAAAATCCAAGCAATCATTGTCATAAGAATTTACTTCTATATTTTCTTCTAGATCTCCACAATTTTAGCTCTTATATTTGGTACTAAGTTGTATTCTGAATTAATTATCAGGCATAGTGTGAAGAAGGGGTCCAAATTAAACCTCTTGCATGTTAGATTTACAGTATGATTAGCTGACAAGACTATTCTTTGCTCCAATGAGTCAACATGGTATCATTTTCCAAAATTAACTCAACGTAAGTATCAATATTTACTTATCAGTTCAGTCAATCAATCTGCCTATTTTATGCCTGTCCTTACATTGTTGATTAGTCTAGGTTTGAACTACTCAATCTTTTACATTTAAAACCCATTATGTAATTTCTATATACCAATAAAAATTTCTCAAGAGATTACTTTTTGTTACTAATCAAATTAAAGCCTGCAAGTCTCATTTGGTAATCTTATTTATTTTTAACTAACAACCTAAGAACCTGCAGATATTTACGGGGTACCACACAATGTTTCTATACATGTATATGTACTTGTAATTTCCAACTCCAGCTGTGGACAGTAGCCTAGGTTGCACTGTACCTAGGCAAGTGCTACACTGCTAGGAGAAAAGCAGCTAATAGCTGGCAGGCATCTTGGGCCTGCTTAATGCCAAATCTGTATTAGCCACACCAGTGTGCCAGCATAGCCACCTAGCTTGTTATACATATATATGTATGTGTGTGTACATATATACACATATTCTATATATACACACTATATACATAAATATATACACATTTTATATATAGACATATACATATATATTTCCCCTAAAGATATATGGGGGTGCCAGGTCCATGAACCCTGGGGTGGGGGGCCAGGTGGGGCCTGTGTCACTTGGCCTGAGTCCTTAGGCCTGCCTGTACAGTGGGTGTCAGGTCTGTGAGCCCCAGGAGTGGGGCCTGGGTTGCCTAGCTTAGGTCCATGAGCCACAGGAGTAGAGGGTCTGGTGGGGCCCCGGGTCAGGTGGCCTGGGATGCCCTCATCAGTGGAAAAGACAGAGCAGTGGATGGCAGGCCTACATGTACACAGAGGATATGGCAGCCCATTAGAGTCTGCAGAGAACATATGGCACCATAGCAAACGAAGGAGGGCAGAACAAATCGGAAACTATCCCAACCAAGCAATAACAGCAAATATCTGGGCAAATGGTGCCATTTTGTGTAGAGGCAAAGGCCATGGGACAGGACTGTGCATGCACTAAGCTGGGAGTGAACTCATTTCTGGCTCAGTCAACTGCAGCAACATGACATTCTACAACAAAGATCAGCGGAAACTATATCATGGATTCTGTTTTAAGTTCCATCTCTTCAACACGTTGTCATTACATTCTTCAGTGACTCCTACATCACACAGTAGCATCATTTTCTTCAAGAAGGTTCTTCATTTTCTTTTTTATTTCTTCAGCAACACATTAGTCATTCAGTAGCACGTTATTTAACTACATGACATTATAAACTTTTTTCCTGTTGATTTTGTTTTGTGGCTTTTCATTTTTAAGGGTATGTACAGTAACTGTGTAATGGAGACTATCATATGCAGTAGCATGTTATTTAACTTCATGGTGTTCTAAGTTTCTGTTTTTCTTCCTGTTATTAATTTTGTATTGTGGCTTTTCATTTAAGGGGATGTACAGTAACTGTGTAATGGAGACTATCATATGCAGATATGAGGATACAATGTAGTGTGTGTCTGTACTTCAGATCAAAGATGGACTCCCAGTGAAACCATTAACTATATCTTGACAATAGGATACTGGACTCTCTGCCATTGTCCATGCCTGTAATGACAGACATATGACTGTATGAAGAACTATGCGATAGTAATGATATAGGGGAACTCGGGGAGAGGGGATTTGGGGAGGGATGGAGAAAGGGAAATCCCAGAGCCTATGGAACTGTATCATAAAATGATAATAATAATAAAAAAAAAAAGATTTGCAGAGGGTGATTTAAAAACATCCCTAACATCAGGAAGTTATATAGGCTATAACACCCTCTAGTGGTGAACAATAAGAGCAGTATAATTAGATTACTTCTTAAAACTTTATTACATACAGTTCTGTAGGTGTGTTGCTCTCTCCCTCTTCCTGTCCGCCCTCCATCCCTGTGTCTCCTGCAGCTGCTATTATTCCCTGAATTATCACAGTCACATAGTCTCTTGGTAGCAGTTATAAGATTAACTTTCTGCTATTTAAGCATATCATGACATGTTAGGTATAAATAGAAGTAGAAAATCTAGGATCATGCCATACAAGCAAATTCACATGCTTCAAAATGGGAGTCCAACTTTCACTCAGTAGGGACATGCACCATAATGTAACTGTACTTCCCAGTGTGCAAGTCTCTGTTAACCATTCACCTGTAGTTTATGCATGTACTTGATTACCTGTACCTCTTTGTTATCTATTTAAGGCTGTGCTGTTTCAGAAGAGAACAAATGCTATTTGTTCTTTTTGAATTGGGTTATCTCACTGAGCATGATGACCTCCAGTTGTAACCATTTTGTTGCAAATGGATAGGATTTTACACTTTTTTATGCCTGAATTGTATTTCAGAGTAAATGCACCAGCTTCTTCACCTAGTCTTTTGTTGACAGACATCTGGGTTGTTGCCACGCCTTTGCTATTGTGAACTGTGCTGCTACAAATATTGGGCTGCAGATTGCTTTGGAAATACTGCCAGGAAGGAGATGCCTGCGTCATATAGATCAATTTTTAGTTGTGTGAGCACTCACCATTCTGAATTCCATGTGGCTACAACAGTCTACACTCCCAGCAATAGTGGAGTAGGGTACCTTTATCCCCGTATCATTGCCAATAGTTGTTGACTTCTGTATGTAGGCCATTCTCATAGGAGTTAGATGGAACCTCAATGTGGTTTTTATTTGCTTTTCCCCAAATGCTCAGCTAGGGAGCCTGAGTACTTTTTCATATGTCTATTAGCTACCTGAATTTCTTCTTTTGAAAAATGTCTGCTCAACCCCTCTGGCAGGACACAGACCCGGAAGGTGAGCGCAAGAAACATGATAGGAAACAGCCCAGAAAAGGCCATGGAAAGCTACCCACTGGCATACAATTGGCAGACGTGGGGGCAAGACCAGGCTGAATCTGTCCACGTCATCCACTGGCAAATCCAGGCACCAGTGTGGGTCGAACCAGGTTCGGTCGCAACAAAGACTAGTGCACAATATGGAATGCCGAGGTGAGGTTGTCTGTGCCGGAAGGGACCGCAGCACCCAACCAGCCTGAGAACAAGAAAGGAAGTGGGCAGAGCCAGCAGGGGAATAAGGGAGGGTTCCTTTGCTGGACAGCTACTTCCGCAGGAGAGCAAGGGCTGGGATGGGGGCAGACCAGACTGGGCGGAGCTACCACACCTGTGCGCCCCATGTGGACTAGATCAGGGAAAAGCCGGGCTCGGCGGATTATTCCTACTGGTGCAAACAAAATTAAAGTGGGCGAAGATTGTTTGGGCTTAGACGCAGCATCAACTGGAATCTGGGAGTGGGAGAGGCCTGGGAGGGAAACAGTGGGCTCATCCCTCTTGGGCTGCCACTTCCACAGGAGGACATAAAACTAAGATAGCGGCTGGGGTGGAATGGGGTGTGGGACAGACTGGATTACTGCTACACATTACTGGCAAACCAGGGTAGGGGGCGGGCCTGGAGGGGGTTATTGTGGGTTGCTCCAACTAGGCTGCAGCGCCCACTGGTTTATGTGAGGGCCAAGTATGTGCTGGGCAGAACCAGGCTGGACTGCAACACCCATTGGTTCCAGTGGAAGTCGGGAGTGAAAACAGAACCAACCCAGCAATTGCAACCACCAGCTGATTGGAGCGATGGACGGTGCCAGGCCCTGTGCTTGTTAGCACATACAAAAAGTTTCTTTGGAGATCTTCCTAATCTAAATGCTGGACTCAGAACCCTTACCAAGAAAAGAGAGAAGACAGAACAGGTCAACCAACCATCTCAGCTATGATGGACTATGTCAATCAGTGGATTTTTCAAAGACCTCATAGTGCTTGGAGTGGCAAGACTGACAGCGATTCATAACTGTGGCAATATCAAAACCACTTGAGCAAGAACCTCAGAGCATGCCCTACATCCGGGACCTGGGGAGGGTGGGAAATTGGGTGGGCCTTCTGCCTTAATACCCCCCTTTAAACATGAAGGTAACAATATGGAAAACATACTAGTATTATCCACTTTCCTGTAGCCCTTGAACCTTCTTACCCTAATTAACTATGTAAAGAATGTCTAAATAAATTTTATTAAAAGAAAAAAAATAAATAAATAATAAATAAATCTTAAAAAAAAAAGTCTGCTCATATCCTTTACCCACTTCTTAACAGGGTTGTTTGCTTTGTTTTTGCTGAGTCTCTGAAGCTCTTTGTAGATACTGGATATTAGTCCCCTACCTGGTGTGTAGTACACAAAGATTTTCTCACATTCTCTCAATTGCCTCTTCACTGTATTGACAGTTTCCTCTGCTGTATAAAAGCTTCTTAGTTTCATGTAGTCCAACTGGTTTATTTTGGCTTTAACTAGCTGTGTTTCTGGTGTCTTTTCTAAGAAGTCTCTGCCTATGCATATGTCTTATAGAGTGTTCCCTATGTTTTCCTCTAGTAATTTGATGATGTCTGGATGTGGATTTATGTCCTTGCTCCATTTAGAGTTGATTTTTGTAAATAGTGAAACATGAGGGTCTTATTTCTCACTTCTGCATGCGAATATCCAATCATTCCAACAGCATTTGTTGGAGACTGACCACTCCCAGGATTATTTTCAGTTCTGTTGTCAAAGTTAATTGACTGTACACATGTGGATCCTCGTCAGAGGTTCTATTCTGTTCCACTGGTCATCTTTTCTAGTCTTGTACCAGTAAGCAGGCTAGCCTGTTTACTACAGCCCTGTAGGATGACTTTAAATATATATTGTGATTCCTTCAGCTTTATTGTTTAAGATAGCTTTGCCTTTTAGGTTACTATGACTCATGGGTTTATCTACACAATCATGGCTCACCTTATAAATTCCTTGATTCCAAATTTGAAAAGCAGTTTCAAGATAAGTTTTTCATAAAGATTAAAATACAAAATTTAATTACTCATTCTGAAGTCTTCAATTTGACATGCACAATTTTTGGCTCTCACACATAAATTAGAATGATTAGATCAAACAATGATTATATTTCACATAATCATACTTTGTTCTATATTTTATACTTTACAAAGTAAGAAACATGACTCAGTTCACTTAAGATAACTCATGGATTGTCTAAATTACTGTCTCAAAAAAGATTTACTAACTAAATATTAAAGCATTATTCTTAAAATCATTTTTTCTAGAATAAAGGATACAATAAAACTTACCTCAGTCTTTTTGTTAATGTGATCTGTAAAAAAAAAAAAAAGAGAGAGACTTCATTGAAGGAAATTAACAAAATGTTTGAGCATGTGAAAATCAAAAGAATTTTAAAGTTACAGGAGTTAACAGAAGTCATCAGTTTTCTTCTATTCACATTTGATTGTCTAGATTTATGAGTCACTATGTAAGCACCATTTGCTCGGCTTGGAGATTAAGTCATGAGTTCTAGAAAATGAAATCCATAACAAGGACTTTATTTAATTTTTAGTCATGTAAATTTTACATAATTTAGTTATTTATTTCCTTTTTAAATTTTCATTTTTAAAAATTTATTTGAGAGACAGAGAAAAACAGCGCCGCCATATGCCAGTTCACTTCCAATGTTTGCAAGGACTGGAGCTGAGTCAGGTTGAAGCCTGAGCAGAGACCTCAATCCAGTCCCCTATGTGGACCTAACAGGAAGCTGGAAAAGGAAGTAGGTGTCCTAAGAGGCAGATTAGCTTTTAGGGCAAATGTTCACTTTCAGCTATTTTGTTTAGTATCAATTTTAGCATGGGGAGGTAGAAAAAGCTAAGGGGACACAATCATATCCAAAATCAAACCAGATTCTATAACTGTAAAAAATGTTTAGGGGGCCCAGCAGCATGGCCTAGCGGCTAAAGTCCTCGCGTTGAACACCCCGGGATCCCATATGGGCACCAGTTCTAATCCCGGCAGCTCCACTTCCCATCCAGCTCCCTGCTTGTGGCCTGGGAAAGCAGTGGAGGACAGCCCAATGCTTTGGGACCCTGCACCTGTGTGGGAGACCCGGAAGAAGTTCCAGGTTCCTGGTTTTGGATTGGCATAGCATCAGCCATTGCGCTCACTTGGGGAGTGAATCATCGGATAGAAGATCTTCCTCTCTGTCTCTCCTCCTCTCTGTATATCTGACTTTCCAATAAATAAATAAATCTTAAAAAAAAAATGTTTAGGGGCTAGCACTACAACATAACAGTGCCAGCATCCAATATGGGTCTAGTTTGAGTCCTGGATGGTCCACTTCCAATTCAGGTTGCTGCTTAAGTACCTGGGAAAGCAGCAGAAGGTAGTGTAAATGCTTTGGCCCTGTACTCATGTGGAGATCTAAAGGAGGCTCCTAGCTCCTGCCTTTGGACCAGCTCAGTTCCAGTCATTATAGCCATCTGGGAGGAGAACCAATGGATGGAAGATTTTCTTTTTCTCTCTCTCCCTTTTGCTCTCGCTCTTTCTCTCCCTCTCTTTGTGTACCTCTACCTTTTAAATAAATAAGCCTTTTAAAAAACAACAAAAAAGTTCAAATTAATGTTTTTGTGGAATGAACTTTAAAAAAGCAGAACAGTAGGCAAAATATCATGGAACAGTAAGTTAAGCCACCATCTCTGATGGGGGTTTGGTTGGAATCCTAGCTGCTGTACTTCCCATCCAGTCCCCTGCTATACTACTGGGTCTAGGGAAGTAGCAGGGGGTTCAAGTGCTTGAGCTCCCATCATCCACATGGCAGTCTATGAAGAAACATTCCAGAATCTTGGCTTTGGCATTGCCCAGCCTCAGCCACTGAGGCCATTCTTTTTTTTATCACCTTTCATGTAAAATATTTATCTATATAAAAATATATATAGTTACATATGTAGATAGATATAAAATCTATTTATCTGAAAGTCACTATTTACACAGTGAGAAAAGAGGCAGAGAAAGACCTTCTATCTGCTGGTTCACTCCCCAAAAGGCTGCAAAAGCATGGACTAGGCCAGGCCAAAGCCAGCAGTCCAGAGCTTCTTGTGGTCTCCTACATGCAAAGTCCCAAGCACTTGGGCCATCTGCTTTCCCAGCACATTAGCAGGTGGCTGGATTGGAAATAGAGCATCTGAGTCTTAAATTGGCACTTACATGGGATGTTGGCACCACAGGTAGTGGCTTTACTCACTATGCCACAGTGCCAATCTAACAGATGTTAATAAACAAACACATAAGTAGAATAACTTATGCCTTTTAAAACTATTAACTTTTATTTCAAAAATATGTATCTGTAATTTGACAATACTATGTAAAATCTCCTAAAAATTGATGTACGCTTATGTAATAAACACAAATGATAACTCCAAAATATATCTGGATGCAACAAATCATTAACTTAAGAGAAACAGCCTTTCCAGAAAGGAATTACTGATAGCAAAATAAGGGCAGGATCGCACCAGGGAATCTAGACAAACACAAGATTGAATCTGAAGTACACAGAAGGAGCAGACCAAATATTCTTGAGGTGGTCAGGATGTCTAATATTTAACAAATGTTTCTGTGTAGAACAGAAATTTTCCAATTTTTAAAATTTCATACTTATTTATTTGAAAGTCAGAGTTACAGAGAGGGAGGGAGAGACACACACAGACAGATCTTCTAGCTGTGGCATCACTAGATGTCTGAAACAGTTTGGGCTGGGCTAAGCCAAAGCCAGGAATCAAGAGCTTCACCCAGGTCTCCCACAAGGGTGGCACAGCTCAAACACCCCCGCCATCTTCTTCTGCTTTTCCCATGTACGTAAGCAGGGAAATATCATTTTAATTTCTGGTTTTAATTTCTGAACAGTGCTCTGGTTTGAGTACTTGTTCTCTCTAAATCTCACACTGAAATTTAACTGCCACTGTTCCAGTAGTAAGAGGAGGGACTTATAAGAGATGCTTGAGCCAGGAGGGTGCCACCTTGCTAAGAGTGGGACTGGGGTCTGAATTAAGGCGGAACGTGGTCCCTCTGACTCTCTGGTCCCCTTGCCTTCAGGCATGTGCAGAAATAGCAAGAAGGCCTCCATCAATTATCATGCCGCCCAGTACCCAGAAATTTGAGTCAAGAAAATTCTGTTCATCATAAATTACACTGTCTTAGATATTCTGCTAAAACAATACAAAAATGGACTAAGAGAGAGGTTCACATTTTTAAGTTTTCCAAATGCTACAATAACAATTTCACTTACTTTTAAAAATCAGAATGGTACTTACAGCTTAAATATAAAATGACTTAAAATAGTTACTTTAGCATAATAAACATCAAATATATTACCTTCAGATTGAAAATCTTTCAGTGATACTGTGAGAGGTTTATCTTTTCCCTGCTGATTCCTTTTTTTGTCTTTTTTATTCATAACTTTTGACTGAGTTGAAACATTTTCAGCATTTTCATACTCCTAGAAAAAAAAATGACAAGGAATAACTAGGTCCAGAGAGGTACTGTTTCTTAAAGTTTTATTTTTTACTTATTTGAAAGCAAAGTGACAGAGAATCTCCCATCTGTTGTTTTACTCCCCATATGGCCACAGTGGCCCACAGCTTCTTCCAGGTGTCAGACATGGTTGCAGGGGCCAAGCACTTAAGCTATCCACAGATGCTTTTCCAGGTGTATTAGCAGAGATCTGAATTGAAAGTGGAGTAGCCAGATCTTAAACTTGCACTCATATGTAATGCCAGTGCCACTGAGAGTAGTTTAACTCACAATACCACAATGCTGACCCCATGATTTAAGACACATAAAAAATTAAAGCAGGCTAGCCAAGTTTTGTAAAAGAATACCTGTTTGTTTATATACTCAATTTCTTGCATCTTAGAAATTCAAATAAAACAAAACATTTTAACTCAGTTCATAATCCTGTCCTTCATCGCCATCTTCTTTTCCCTTCTTTAAGAACAAAATCTAAGAACAGTAAGCAACTATTTCTTCTGACCTACTGAAATCTTACTTCTTACTGTTCTCTGACACTAAAATTAAGATCAGTCTCCTCTGTCAAATCTAACAGATACTCTGTTTCAAGTACCTCTTGGTTTGTTCCATATGCTTCTGACTACTTGAACTTCCCCTCATAAGAAGTTTGTATCTCACAATGCAGTAACCAAGTTTGATTCCCAGATCTGTTCCTAACTCCAATTCCTGCTAATTCAGACCCTAAGATGTAGCAGTGGTGGCACCAAGTACTTAGTTTCTCACACACTGCAGTGGCACAGTGGGTTGTGATGCTGGCATCATATATGCATGCTAGTTTGGGTCTCAGCTACTCCACTTCTGGTCCAGATTTCTGGTAATGGCCTGGGAAAGCCCCAGATAGTTTGAATCCTGCACCCAAGTGGGAAGACCTGGAGAAAGCTGCTTGCTCCTAGCTTTGGACTAGCCCAGCTCTGACCACTGTGGCCATCTGAGGGGTGAGCCAGCACATGAATGATCTCTGTCTCTCCTTCTAAGCTTCCTTTCAAATAAATAAATATTTAAAAAAAAAAAAAAAGAGTTCCTGCCTTCCATGTGGGGGACCTGGAGTCCATTCTGGGCTTCTGGCTCTAAACCTGGTCCAGCCCTAGCCAATGAGGCATTTGGGCAGTGAACAAGCAGATCAGAAATCGATCTTTCTATCTCTCTCTCTTTCTCTCTCTCTCTCTCTGTGTCTCCGTCTCTCACACAAATAATGCAGTTACTGTTCATTACGATCTCATTCTGACCCTGTTCTGAGCATATTTTGTACATACTGCTCTTCAGTCAAAATTTAAAAGTTCTGCCTCTGCATTAATCATTTCCACATGAACAGACCACTCGTCTGGTATGTCTAATAAGCATCTCCACAATACATGTCTCACATCTTCCACCTAGACTCTGTCTTCCTCACTTGATCCTATTCTAGATTCCTTGCTATGCCACTAACACCTATGCAGCTGTCTAGGACAGAAACCTCAGTGTACCCTTGCCTACTCCGCTACATATTTTATATCCAGATTACTCACTAGGTGGTATAGACTTTATCATCCTAAGATTGCTTTATCTGTTCCATCTTCCATCTACAAAACCTCTTTCACTTTCCCTACCTTCTTTTGCATGGACATCACAACACCTTTTAGTTCCTCAATCCATATTCTACATTGCTACAACATGAATTTCTTTTTTTAAAGGATTTATTTTTATTTGAAAAGTAGATTTCACAGAGGGAGGAGACACACAGAGGTCTTACAGCATGAGTTTCTAAAATGAAAACCTGAAATCAACCTGAAAGTAAAAATACACAATAGCTTTTCTCCAGAAAAGGTATAAAATCCAATCTCATTAACTTGGTAATAGGGTTCTTTACATCCTATCCTTCTATCTACATCTACAGCAAGTCTAGATCTCAAAATGACAATTTTTCAAATATACTATATTCTTGCACATACATACATTATGTGTTCTTATCACTTCTTCCTTGAGATTGCCTACTTCCCTTGCATATCTTGTGAAATTTAAAAACTTAAATTTTAAGAATCCTTTCTTACAAAGGCCTGGTACGATAGCCTAGTGAGTAAAGCCCTCACTTTGCATGTGTCTGGGATCCCATATGGGCACCAGTTCGTATCCCAGCTGCTCCACTTCCCACTCAGCTCTCTGCTTGTGTCCTAGAAAAGCAGAAGAGGACAGCCCAAAGCCTTGGAATCCTGCACCTGTGAGGGAGACCCAGAAAAGGCTCCGGGCTCTTGGCTTTGCATCGGCTCAGCTCTGGCCACTGTAGCCACTTTAAGGAGTAAACCAGTGGACAGAAGATCTATCTGTCTCCTCTTCTCTCTGTAAATCAGTAAATCTCTCTGTAAATCTTTCCAATAAAAATAAATCTTTTTAAAAAAATCCTTCCTTAAAATTTATTTCCTTCTTCAAAAGTAATAAAAAGTCTTCTATTTTTCTGAATTCCCACTGCATTGAGCATATATATCTCCATATTATACATTATAATTATATGTATATCTCTCTCCTCTAAACTCAGGGATTAGGATGTTTTAATTTTGGATTGTTCGCTTAGTAAATTTTGGCTACTTAACAAATATTTGGCCAATGAGTGAGAACAAAAAATAACATCCCAAAATTTAGTTATTATAAAACTCCTTAGGTTAATAGCTTGCCAAGAAAAATAGCCTGAACTATAATATTTTATTAACATTTATTCTACTCATCCTTCAAGGATATAGATGATTTTCTCAAAACTTTAGAATCTAAACATGTATCTAACAACAACAAATCAGTATTTCATAAAATTGTATCCCCTAATTGAGCAATACAAGAAGATATTTGCAGTAAGAACAATCCAAAAATCCATTTAAAAGACTAAACTACAGTACAGCTATTTGTCTCTATTTTTCTAATTGCTTGCTTTGTGTCTAAATAGACATATAGACTTTCCTGAAAATTTTCATTCTTTTGAGTTAAAATAACAAAATCATCTTCATCTTGGGTTAAAGTGATAAAACACACTGACACAGCCATTAAAAAAAAAAAAAAACCCAGAAAACAAAACAAAAAAAAACCCAACTCAACTTAACCAGGATCCATTTAAGATTAGCCACTGAGTAAATCTTTATTGATAAAAATAACTGACACCTATACAGTTTAAATATAGAAAGTAGAAACCAATACCAATTCTTAGCTAAATCTTCCTATAGTCACAAGCTATTGCATTCTGCATTTCAACACACAACTGATAAATGCTGCTGAGTGACAAACGCTGGGCTTATAAGACTAAAATATCACAAACAGCTTCTCAGTTATTTTAGTCAATTTCTGGTAGAGGGTCTCTTAATAGGTGTCTGTGTACGACAGTAGTCATATGTACATTAATTCTAAATTCAATAATCACCTGTTAAGAATTTCACTCCCTCTCTTCCCTTCAATTTGGGTGGAGGGACTCATTAACCAAACATCCCAAATGATCAGACCAGGCTTATCCATAAGTTTCACCAAAAACTTGAGAAGAAATTATATCACAAAAATGTTTAGTTACAATGATGAACTTTTAGGATAAACCCCAACCTTTGACCTCTTCTAAAATATATCAATAAAAATGCAAATACCTTTTTGTGCTCCTCATATTCCAATTTACTTAGCAACAGTGCCTTCTCAAGATCTGCTTCAAACATTTCAGATGTTATCTAAAAAAAAAAAGTTTTACAATAAACAGATGTCAGCACTATTCTATGGTAGCAAAAGAACTATCCTTGTTTCACCATCCGACTTTAACTTTAGAATCTTGCTTTCAGCACCCTCAAATAAAATTACTCTCTGTAAGAACTGTTTCTTCCACTTGCCTGACAGAACTCCTGAGATAGGACTTCGGGCTGTCTTCTCTTAGGAATAAGTGTGTCTGCAGTTGTCCATTATGTTGAATTGTAACATAACAGGAATAAACATCCTGTGTTTTATGTCTGTTTAGTGGCTAACAAAAACATAAAACTTAGTGGAGTTTTCTTGTTTTTGTCTGTTTAGAATCCTTCCTCTATTCTTTTGAAACATCCTTTATTCCTTTTGTTTTTTCATTCAGCAGTATAGCCTAGTACATGACACTGTACACTATCCATTACCTTGCCCATATGAACACACAAGCTATTATCATCACCAACAGATGCAGGGAAGTGATCCACCTCCGCTTTGTTCTCATATTAATTAGATTTTCAGAACAAGGATAAATCAAGTGGAGTCTAATCATCTGATGAGACAACAAGCAACAAATACTAGGTCATGTCTCAGAAAAACTCTACAGGTATTCCTTAGTTTCTGCCTTTCCCAAGGCCTGTTAAGTTTTTAGTTTTGTTGTTTGCTTTGATTACAGATGTATTTGTTTTATTAGAAAGTCCTATTTACAGAGAGAAGAGATTGAGAGAAGGATCTTGCATCCATTGGTTCACTCCCCAAGTGGCTGCAACTGCCACAGCTGAGCAAATCTGAAGCCAGGAACCAGGAGCCTCCTCCAAGTCTCCCAAGGGTCCCAAGGCTTTGGGCCATACTCTACTGCTTTCCCAGGACCTAAGCATGAAGCTGGAAGGGAAGTGGAGCTGCCAGGATATGAACTGGTGTCTGTATGGTATCCTGGCCCCTGAAGGCAAGGATTTAGCCACTAGGCCATTGTGCTGGGCCATAAGTTTTAGTTTAAACCTGCGAATGGCTCAGTATCCGTCCAATACATTTTTTTTTTTTGCCTAATTAGAATTGTTTCTGTTGCTTAACGATTAATAAAAAGGAAATCTAAAATAAAAGAGAAATTGACTGCAGAAGGGAGTGATCTGTTCAAGAGGGACACCTTGAAAACCAGAAATATATTAGTACTATACAACATGAATTAAACCTTTCATTTGTAACCAGAAACATCCTTTTGAAAGTATCTTATCATGTCTTGGCATTAAAAACAAGAGCAAAAAAAGATTAGGCTTATACAATTCTAACTCAGGGAAATAAAATGAATTAAAATGGTAAATAACATATACAGTAAACATGATTAAGCCCTAGATAACACTGTACATGCTTTTTCTATGATATGACTGAAACGAAATGAATAACAAGTTCAATCCAAATTAGTAATGAGTAGAAAAACGTAATAAAGCAACTTTGGATTTATTATGTAAATTAATTGTATGAATAAATGGGTACTCTAACAGTACCACTATATGAATAAATGAATGTTCAAAACCAATAGTTATGATCCACAGGAAAAGAATTAGATTCGTGGGGGCCCAGTGAGAAGCCTAGTAGTTAAATGCTCACCCTGCATGTGCTGGGATCCCATTTGGGGCGCTGGTTCACACCCCCAGCAGCTCCACTTCCCATCCAGCTCCCTGTCTGTGGCCTGGGAAAGCTGTAGAGGGTGGCCCAAAGCCCTGGGACCATGAGTCTGCATGGGAGACCCAGAAGAAGCTCCGGGATCCTGGTTTTGGATTGGCTCAGCTCCAGCCACTGCAGCCACTTGGGGAGTGAACCAGCGGATGAAAGATTTTTCTGTCTCTCCTTCTCTCTGTAAATATAACTTTCCAGTAGAAAAAAAAAATGTTGTAAAAGGAATTACTTATATTAGTGTTATACAAAGAAGAAAGTTTATATCAGTTCCAACTAAACTCAAAGCAAACTAAATATAAAATATTTCACTCTAAAGCAGTTATCCTAATAGAACTAACAAAATTACTTATTTTGAATGCAAGTGGTTCAATTACCCACATTTTTAATCCATATTGTTGCTGATATTTAATGTCACATTACAAATATTTTGACTAATATTCTAAAAATCAGTGAGTAGAATTTAAATGAGAAAGTTGGAAGTCTTCCATGATGCCTTTATTATTTTTCATGCTAACTCATAGAATTCAGCTATTAAAGTAGCTGACTGTAATGGTTTGTGAAAAGCAGAATGAAATGGAACTTTTTAAAAATGAAAAACAAGGCTCTCCTCAGCATTTGATTCTAAATTTTTAAATTTACTTTTTCATTATTAACACAACCTAGCTTCAAGGAAGTTTCAGCAGGAAAAAAAAAATCTCTAAAAACTAGAAGAAATCTTCCAGAGTGCCACTTAATGAACAATCAGATTAAGTACTGAGGCTCTTTCTTATGCTCTGTCCTGCCACTAGCGGTTTAAATAAGCAGCAGCAATTTTGCTTCTGCTCCCAAAGAATTTTTATGGAACCCGGAAGTGTAAAATTAACACAGGGAGCCACTGTGGCAGCAAAGCAAGCAAAGCTACTGTCTGCACCGCTTCCCACCCAACTCCTTGCCAACAGCCTGGAAACAGCAAGGAAAAACGGACAAAACTCCTGGTTTTGGCCTGGCCCAGTCGCAGCTGTTGTGGTCATTTGGGGAGTGAAACAGCAGATGGAAGAACACTCCTTGTCATGCCTAATTTTCTCAAATAAATTTTAAGGAAAAAAAAAAGTCTAGCATATATAAAGTATGGAAATAGAGCAAGACATTAAAAGAGTTATAAAAGTTCAAGAAAAAGAGACAACAAATGGAATTTAGGGAAACATACAGAAACAAATGAGGTTGGAACTTAAAGGATCGTCTGGACAGGTATTGGGCCACAGAGCTAGGCCCCTGCTAGGTATGTTCACCCCCTGTTGAGTCCCAGCTCCTCTGGTTCTAATCCAGCTCCCTGATAATGCAGCCTGGCAACAGATGATGAAAGGCGGGAGGTCCAGATGGAATTTCACATTCCTTAATTGTTCCTGCTCAGGCTTAGCTATTGCAGGTATCTGAGGAATCAATCAGCGGATGGAAGCTCATTCTTTCTGCTTTTCAAGCAGAAATATTTTTTAAAAGGAAGTAATCCTTTTTAAAAGGATACATAAATTTTAAGTAAGTAGAAAAAAGAACAAAATAAGCTATAAGAGGTAGAAGCCATATGAACAAAGATATGTGATTAAGCATAGAGCCAAAGAACAGGTGGTTTAACCTAACAAAGACACCGACACAACATTTCAGGGTGTCTATGTCCAACATGTGGTTCTGGCTCCCTAATGCAGACCCCAGGAGGGGATAGTGCAAGTGACTGGATCTGTGTCCTGTATGCAGAAGCCTTGCACTGAGTCCCTGGCTTCAGCCTGCCCATTTCCAGTTACTACTGCTGGTTAGGGGTGAAGGGGAATCCCTAAGCTCCAGCTCACCCCTAAGAAGGATCTATTACAGAATAAGAAAAGTCACCTTGATAAAAATGAATTTTAAGCAGGAGAAAAAAAACCTGCAAGCTTTGGAGACCACATAGGTAGCTAATTAAAATTTCTATCCTGCTCACACTGCAAGTGACTCTGAGCAAGTTATATGACATGTGTAAATCAGTCTAAGGTTTTTTTCTTTTAAAGATTTTTCTTTTTTAATTTTTATTGGAAAGTCAGATATACAGGAAGGAAGATCTTCCATCACTGGGATCCCATATGGGTGCCAGTTCTAATCCTGGCTGCCCTGCTTCCCATCCAGCTCCCTGCTTGTGGCCTAGGAAAGCAGTCATGGATGGCCCAAAGCCTTGGGACCCTGCACTCTGTCTCTCCTCTATAAATATTTGACTTTGCAATAAAAATAATCAAATCTTTAAAAAAAAAAAAGGGGGGGTGGATCCCTAACCCTAGTGGACAGCAGCTTTTAAAAAAAGATTTATTTTTATTGCAAAGGCAGATACACAGAGAAGAGGAGAGACAGAGAGGAAGATCTTCCATCTGATGGTTTACTCCCCAAGCAGCCGCAACGGCTGGAGCTAAGCCCATCCAAAGCCAGGAGCCAGGAGCTCTTCTAGGTCTCCCATGCGGGTGCAGGGTCCCAAAGCTTTGGGCCGTCCTTGTTTGCTTTCCAAGGCTACAAGTAGGCAGCTGGATGGGGAAACAGGGCCATCAGGATTAGAACTGACGCCCACATGGGATCCCAACGCATGCAAGGCGAGGACTTTAACCACTATGCTATCATGCCGGGCCCAAAAAAATAAGTAAATCTTTAAAAAAATATTTTATTACTTTACAGAGAGTAGGAAGCAATGAAGGAAGCCAAGAGGAAGGAAGCCTTCCTTCCTTTAAAAAAAAAAAACTGCTATAAATATGGTTGTCCAGAAATACAAGAGTCTACCTACCAAACAGGCCCTAAGCAATAACATGTAAATAAAATAAAATCTTATTTTTTAATGTTCCAATAAACCACTGTAAATAGAATATATGCAAGCCAAAAAGTCAATATACCTAATCAACTGAAAATACTGCTAATCTACTGAATATCGCTTAGTCTAACCATTTTCAAATATACTTAACAGTTGGGCAAATAATCTAACACAAAGTACTGAATATCTCATGAAATTGAAGACTGTACTGTAAAAAACAGAATGTATGATATAGGAGACAGTACAGTGGATACAAAATTTCCAAGCAATGCCACACAGGACACTGTACAGCAGTGGTGCTTAATTTGTGATCAAGTGTAAGCACTGATTGAGCTACAGCAAGAGAGTATTACGGCCAATTCTACTGGTCCAAAGAAAAAATCATAATTCAAGATTCTATATACAGTTTTGAGAGAATGCATGCTGTTCTTCCATCACCATAAAGTTGAAAAATTGTAAGGCAGATTATCCTAAGTTGGAAACTATCTGCATTAAAGTCTGCAAGTGGAAAAGTGCAGAAGAGATACTAAA